TGGAAAGAAATCCAGGAAAATCAAAACCCAGAATATACCATTAATGTAAGCTTGGCAAGAAAGGTCTCTGAATATTTGTAGGCAGCTGCCAATTTCTAATTATGGATTCCTTTTTAAAAAATTCATATGACCCCATTCCCAATGTTGTTATTGTTTACGTATATTTCTTTCCCAGGTTTCCCAGAGTAGGATGGAGAATTCTATATCAGAATTGATTTCCCTGAAAAACACAGAACCCCAGAATCATATGGTTGGAAGGGACCTTGGAGATCTTCTAGCCCAACCCCCCAATATATGAGCTAGAATTCCTTAAGAGGTTTAACACTATTTCCCACTAATTAAATAGCAACTGTTTTTCTATCACACAATCATCTCACATGTTAGCAAGATAATGCTCAAGATTTTGCAATCCAGATTTCAATCATAGAAAGAATGAGAATTGCTAAATGTACAAGCTAGATTCAGAAAAGATAGGGACCCTGGGATCAAATTGCTAACATCTGATGGGAAATGGAAGAGGCAATGGAGCTCTTAAAATATGTCTATAGGTAGTCCTCAACTTACAACCACAATTAGGACCGGAACTTCCATCACTAAGTGATGTGATCGTTAAGTGAATTGTGCCCAATTTTGCAACCTTTTTTGCCACAGTCATTAAGTGAATCCGGCTTTCTCCATTGATTTTGCTTGCCAGAAGGCCCCCGGGAAGGTCACAAATTGTGATCATGTGACCCCAGGATGCTGCAACCATTGTAAATACATGCCGGTTGCCAAGCACCCAAATTTTGATCACATGACCATGGGGATGCTGCAACAGTCATTAATGCAAGGACCGGTCATAAATCCCTTTTTTCATCACTGTTATAACTTTGAATGGTTGTTAAATGAATGGTTGTAAGTTGAGCACTACCTGTATTTTTGCTTCACTTATTACACAAAGACTATTTACAAAACCACAACAACTTCTGGCTAGCTCTTAAAAACATAGGGGTACTTGGCTATTTCATCTGCCTATTAAACAATATGTTGATCAGGAACTGGTACTTAAAAGAAAATAGGGATCAATGAAATGTTTCAGAATTGGGAAAGGAGTGTGCTACAGTTGTATATTGTTACCTTTTTAAATGTACATGCAGAATATATATTGAAAAATACTGGCCTAGAAGTAATAGAAGTTGGAATTCAAACTGCTGAGAGAAATATCAACTACCTCAGATACGTTGATAATACTGCATTGATGGTGGGAAGAGAGAAAAACCTCTTGTTGAAGATGAAAGAAAATTGTTCAAAAGCAGGGCTGTTCATTAAAACAGTAACAACCACCTAATATTGTATCAACAGGCAAGGCCAATACAAACAGGTGAAAAAGCAGAAGACTTTATGTTCCCAGGTTCAAAAATTCAGAGATTCTCTCAGTAGCCATGAAATAAAAAGACATATGTCATGGCAGGTTTAGACAAAATATTAAACTGCAGGGACATCTCATTAACCACGGTACCCAGTCAAGGGGTTGGTTTTTCTAGTTGTCGCAGCTATGAAATCTGGAGTATTTGAATGAAGAAAGATGGAAGCTCCTGAACTGTGGTGCTGGAGAAAATTGTTGAGAATACTTTAGACCATAACACATAATTCATTACTAGAGTAAGTAAAAGCATTGGATGCACTAAGAATAAAGCTAAAGCTTAAATATTTTGGGCACGTAATACAAAAGCAAGAGTCATTGGTGAAGATCCTATGGCCTGGAACAATCGAAGGCAATCAGAAAAGAAGCTGACCGGGGATAAGATGAGCAGATACTATCACTGAAGTCACAAGGACAAGCTGACAAGAATTCATAGAAGCAGTTACCAACAGATAATCCTGCTGAACTAAACAAAGACACCAAAACATCTTAATCACCTTAACAATGTCAGTATCATGCCTAAAAACTGTTTTGTAAATAGGCACTATGAATGTTATATATATGCATTTTATATCCCTCTGACTTCACTGTTTATTGTTGCATTCCGACATGCTGTCTATACTTTTATCTCACAATGTCATCCCTTCCTGAGCCTGTTGGGTTATAAAATTTATGAAAGGGGTAGATAAACTGCAACCTCTTTTGGGGGTTTCCCTAAAGCTGCAAATACCAAAAGGCTGCCTGCCCATGGTTTATGCTATAGTAAATATGTAAGGTGCTATAAGGTTCACGCGACATGCTAAGTTACAATATCTTTGACATTGCGTAGGAACACTGGCAATCCCAGAAATATTCCATGGATTTTCAGTAATTAGTTTTCAGCTATTGTTTTGGGAATCCTGACAATACCAGACACATCTTACACATGTTTTAAAATGCAAGAGTAAACCCCTGAGTTGATAAGTGCAAAATGTGCTGTATAATCACTGTAACCAAATATATTCAAAAATATGTTTAGGCTGCAATCAGTAATTGCTGAACTCTCCCATTTTTATTCCCTGCAGGTAGTGAGCTAAAAACAGGGATTACCTTCACATAATTGTTACAAAGGCAGAATCCCTAATACAGCATGTACATCATTTAAAAAAAATATATTACGCAGGGTCTACAGATATTCATGTTGTTATAGTAATAGAAAGGAAACTTGTTAAACACAGTTCGTATGGAACTTTTCTTCCCTCCCCACTGTCTGCCATGGGACCCCAAACCCAAAGTGACCTCTGGTTCACGTTTCTCCCAAACAAAACACTCCTTTTATCCCCTGCCTGCTAACTCACATGGCAATTTTATGGCTGCTGTAGCTACTTTCAGAGGATGTACTAGAGTCTTTGTGATGCTGGTCCCATTGCTTGCATCTCTGTCCCAGAGTCCTAGGAAGGTCTTTGTTGAGATCACCATGGTAACGTAGGAAGGGGAGGGGGGAACCAATGAAATCTGTGGCAGAGAAGGAGACTGGAAGAACCCCATGAGAAGGGATTCAGGCCCCTCCTGGAAAGCAGAACCCACAGGAGGAATTAACCGTTGGCTTGTTAGGCTGATTGAACCATCTGTAAGTTAACTGACAATGGTGAATTACTAGTTCTTGCTCATATTGTGGTCCTACACTGTCCAGACAGCTATTCACTGAGCATAGAGACAATCATTTGTTTCATCTGGGGTCCCTCAAGGTCCAGGTTTGTATGCAGTGCCTTCAGCTTAATATATGATCAAACGTGCCACTCTCATAAGATCAATATAAGTATTAAAAAGATGTGACTTCTGTACCTGTGGCCTCACTCACATATATCAAGTGTGACTAAATGCATGGTAAATGTGAATGTTTGAATCCAGTGAGGAAGGGTAGCCCAGAAGAGAGAGCAAGAGGCTTTCATATTTTAATGTGTTTATAACCATTTTAGTGAAGTGTAATAATGTATTGAAAGTAATGTCAGTACTGTAACAATTTTACTATACTATATAAACATTTTAGAAATTAACATTTGAGTTTTTTTATAAATATTTGGGGCTGAGGTAAAGTTTATCCAGTCAGGTAAAGGGATTCCAGAGAACTTCAGAAAGATCTCTCTAAATAGTATGAATGGCTGAGGCATTTTGAGACAGAGGATCCGACCTTCCCATTCATTAATGGCATCTGCATGGCTATGATTGATCAGGAAGAGGATCTTGGAATGACAATGGATATACTTAAATAAGAACATCAACACAAGTTGGAGCTGCTATAAAAATGGCAAATTCCATTTTTATGAAGAACACAGAACATAATACAGTCAGCGTAGCAATGCCATTGTATAAATCTACTGTCTCTGTTCCAGTCACCAAAACTGATAGAAAAAATATAAAGAATGGCAACCAAAATAATTAAGGAGTTAAAGATGCTCCTTTATGATGACAGAGCAACCTGGGGCTTTTTAACTTGAAGCAAAGATAGGCAAAAAGGAGACACAATACAAATATATCGGAATGGGATTTTTCAATAAAATTATTTTTGCTTAATCAAATCTGGCTTGTTTAAGAACAAGCTTGGAACAGTCTTCAAGTGCTACCTGGCTGGATTCCCAAGGCAAATGCTTTTGCTGAGTTTGCAAGGGAACATGTCATATTGATAAAGCAGCCAAGGCAACACATTATTAAGAGTTAGTTGCTCGAAGTAGGGGTACATGTCTGCAGCCAAT